CACCAATATCGTTGTAACAACTAAAGTTTTATTTCCAAATGGATTCATATGCTTAGTTCCAGGCACGTATGTAAAATTAACTCCCTTGTCGTACTTCCACGTTCCTGACTGAAAGAATCATAGAATATTATTATTATTATCAGCAATTAACCTTATTAAAAATTCAAATCTTGATCTTCACCTTAGTTTCATCCATGATCTGTATAGATTGTATATCAAATTGTGTTCTTGATCGGTTAGATTTTAATGACACAGCCAATAAGATGCACGACAGTTTATTCAGATAATGTATGGAACGTTGAAACATCCTCAGAAAATACACGCAACTAAACATCCCGCATTTTACAAATACTGATTAGCAATAATAAGCGATGTAATTAAAGGGCTTCTCTGACGTCCGCGCCAGTAAATAACATTAAATATATGTACATACGATGTTTTGTCTTAACGTTGTAGCAGTAATAAATTAAATTTAGGTTTATTCTAAATATTTCATTACAGTATATGATATATGCTTTCTTTCACGTCCGCGTCAAATAAAATAAACTAAAATATTTTGTAATATTTACAATACCTTGAGTAAACCTGGAGGTTTTAATTGTAATATATCTAACTGAAAATCATATCTTCTACCTTTCTGTAGTTTGATATTACCGGTCATACCTCGCATTGATACCTACAATATAGATATAGTCCGTGATCTTCTACAATATAGTTGGAGGAGGAGGAACTGTAGCAGTCTGTAAGATCATTAGAGACTTTACATGGTGTCATTTGCTTGGTTATATCGAACAACTGGTGGTCGTAGGTTCTAACTCCAGTCGATTTCAAGAAGCCTAGTGGCCTTAAATAAGTTACCTTTCTGCATTATTCCAGCAGACCCAGATGTAAATGGGTACGGTTAATCGGGGAAAAATCAAATCCAAGAGATTTGGTCAAGGAATCCTCATATAGGTAATGAATGTAAAGTGATTTTGACACTTGGTCATTTCGATACAAATTTTTAGTCATTCATTTAAGTTTATTATATCAGCTTTCATTTTGGACTCGGTTTTCGGGAATACGATTCGAGTCATTTAGGCACATGGTCATTTCAGTACAAACACCGTCGTGGTCCTTCATCGGCCCATTGTCATGCTACTATTCTTACCTGAGTTAAATATGTATAAAGACTGGGTCCCGAGGACCAGGGTTGGGGGATATCACAGCTAACATTTACAGGTCGTAAGACGGCGCCACGATCATAAGCTTCTAGCGCATGCGCCAGTAAAAATACAGCGTCAAATATCAGTGCCACTTCATGCTGGAAAATAGAATCATTCAGAAAGTTAAATCGTAAGTTCCTTACATTAATAAAGAATTGAAAAGTAATGGATTCCCGAACAAGCTACATGTTTGGTATGAAAATGGGTATTGTAAATTATTAATATACATACTCAAATTATATATAATGGATTGATTGTTGATAATTTCTCCAAATTCAATACATTAAGTCAGATTTATGAAAATGAATCCCCTGACATATTATCATTTCCGATTTTTGTGCAATTTGTACTTCCGGTAAACTTCGTTTAATACCAAAGCCTATAATTTTGATATTACAGATCGATGAAACATCACATTTTAGCAATATTTAAAACAGATTTCCATTCTAATTAGCTTCCTGACATTTTTAACTTGACATTTGAATCAAGGATATGTCTGAATTAATGTACCAAATCAAAAATAGTTTTTTTTAAAAAAAAACTATTTTAAATATTGAGCTGGTTAAATAAATATTTAGATAACTACATCGCGTTCAAAATTTTGACATTTTGAATTAGAATTTGTATCAAGGCTGGTTTTAGTCATAGAATTGGTGTAGTTTCTGAGAACTATTAGTTTTTTTCTATTTTTACAATCTTTATATCAGGAGACGAAATATTATTTATCATTTCATTTATAGCTTTTAAACTCTCGTTCACGTGAACTTTACGAGATGTTATTA